CTTCTGTCTTCGGCTCCTCCCTTACCTTTTCAGAACTGGAGCTTCCTTACCAATTTCGGTTCTTATTGGTAGGAAACTTCTTCTTGATGAACCTTTTGGGATTGGACACCATCATAGCATAATCTTCTGAAGTTAGATCGTAGTCCTCCAGGTTCAGATCTTCGTCTTCTACTGCATTATTACTTTTAGACAGGAGGGCCAAGGACCCCAAGTTTGAGACCACACTTTTCTCTTGCATCACTGTCTTTTCTTGTAATTTCAGAATTCCCACCAGTTTCGCCAGCGAATATGATTTGAACTGCTCGTGTGCTTTAACTGTAGACACAACAGCTCTTCATTCGGATCTTAAGCCATTCAGAAAAGTGACCTTCTGTTCAATTAGCTTCCTTTCGATATCATGTTTGATCATCTTGTTGAGAAGATCATTGAAGCGATCAAACGTCTGTGTAACAGACTCATCAGGATTTTGCTTGAACTCTCCAAACTCAGACAAAAGCAAGGTTTGAATTGAGTGCTCCAAATCTTCATCTGTGGAATACAGCTCTCGCAGCCGATCCTAGATTTCTTTAGCAGTACTGCAGGAACTCACCAATCTAAACGTGTCAGACTAAAGAGCGAATCGAATCAGTCTCAATGCTTTGATGTTGCACTGAAACTTCTCTTTTTCGTCCTGAGCGACGTCTTTCACATCTTTTAACAAATCATTGTACTCTTTTTGAGTTTTAATAATTATGGATGTTCCTGAATGAGCAAATGGTCTAGACACAATGGCTTCCCATATTAGATACCCATTATCTTCGGATCCAATGACGTAGTCTTCGAAATGATGCACCCAAACCTCGAATCTTGAGTGTAAAGAATTGGAATCTTTTTTGTTGATCCAATACTGTTTGAGATGTTGATAGGATTGGATTGAGAATCGTCCATGCTTGATCGTTTAACCTGTTGCAAGATCAGACTTGTAATATGTAATATTAGGGCAAAACGAATAAATAATGAGATACGTCAATTATGGAGTGATAGCTCGATAAATATCAGTTAATGCGGAATAAACCCTAATCACTTCTTTCACAGAAGAGATGTGTATGGATTACACAGCCTCCTGCTCTGATACTAATTGATGAGATATAAATCTCTTTGATCGTTTAGATCTTACACAGGTTTGGCAAAACGATTTAAGTAAAGTAATAAACAAGAGATGGAATCAACAGTATTCTTAATGATTCAAATGATTCAAGCCTTAGCAGAGCTCGACAAAGAACTTCCGCTGTAAAGGCTTTAGGGATTACAAAAGATAAAAACGATGGGCGCTATTAAAATTATCTCTAAAATCTTACGTACTAAGATGCATGCAAGCATCTATAAATACTCAAACCCTAACACATAAATCACGGATGGACAGGCCTGATCCGGATACAAAACAGGGCTATGAGACGAGCCCAAGACGCAACACCGTATACCCAACAATATCTCTGTTGGGAAATTTGTGGTCAAGCAACAACACAATAGTTACAACTTTTGTTCTTCCAATTTGCCTTATCCTTTTAAACACCATTTTTTAACTTGATGGTCCCTAATTTCTTGTAAACGAGAAGACCTAATAGTGAATTTAAAGAATTTAGAGAATGGTAGTCACTTATCCATCTAGTTACTTCATTACCTATTTAGCTTCTCACATGTTAAGCCTAATTCAGAATTATTTTGTTTCATGCACGTTTTTTTGGCTTTAGAATAAATCAAAGTGACCAGTAAGTGTTCCCTGGTCTTTAGCCATTAGTCAGGTTTGTTCCTACTTTTCAATTAAGTTCTGGTTTAAATTGATAGGCAAGTGTACATTTGTTTTGTCCCCAGTTCTCTTTCATATTCAGTGAATAAATGTGTACACTTTTTCCTTCTTCTCTGTGTGTGAATTCTTGTCCCTACCCTCTGTATTTTGTCCCCTGCACTGTGTAAAGCTTGTGGAAACAGGTTGAAACCAACATTTGGTATCAGAGCACTCCTGGTGTATGCCAAAGTATCAACCTCGTGTGATAGATATGTCAGGAAGCAATGGTGAAAAAGATGGACATGTCACACTGCATTATCTAATGTTGTTAATGTCAAATTATGCTACCTGGGCAATCAAAATGAGGTTAATCATGCAGGCCCAGGGTGTTTGGGAAGATGTTGAACCTAGAACAGCAAATGCAATGGTTGAAGTGAAGAAGGATAAATTGGCTTTGGCAGCTATTTATCAAGGAATACCCGAAGACTTATTGTTGTCATTTCATGAGAAGAAAACATCCAAAGAAACATGGGATGCTTTGAAGACCATGTTTATGGGAGCAGACAGGGTGAAGACAGCAAGGATTCAAACACTAAAGTCAGAGTTTGAATTATTGAACATGAAGGAAACAAAACAAGTCGATGAGTTTGTTGTGAAAGTGACAAACATAGTGAGTACTATGCGTACCTTGGGGATACTGTAGATGAATCCTATGTGGTGACGAAGCTACTTAGGGCAGTACCATCCAAGTTCCTTCAAATAGCATCAACCCTTGAGTAGTAAGCTGATTTGGATAAAATGACAGTGGAGGAAGTAATTGGGAGACTTAAAGCCCGTGTAGAACGAATGAAGGGGGATCATGACACAGATGAAAGAAAGCTTCTCTTAACCCACTAAGAGTGGACTAAGAGAAACAAGAAGAAAGGTGAAGGCAGTTCAAAATCCATCCGAAAAGGGAACCGTGGTGGGTCATCACGGGGAAGAGGTAGAGGCCGAAGTAGAGGTAGTCAAAGTGGTGGTCGAGGTGGTCATGGCAGAAGTGGTCCTCACTAACAGAGAGAAAGAAGTTACAATTGAGGGAACAATCAAGATAAAAGTGATTTACAGTGCTATAATTGTCAAGAGTTCGGGCACTATGCGGCCAAGTGTAAGAACCCAAGGAAAGAAAGAAATCGTGAAAGTAATTTGATCCAGGAAGATAATGAACCAGCCTTTTTGTTGTCATCCGTTGAGGTTGAAGAAGCAAAAGTGGAAGTATTCTTGAATGAAGAGAAAGTGGAAGTATTCTTGAATGAAGAGAAAGTGAACTCGAAGCTGAGATCGAACCACCGCCTCCTGCCGACCACCGTTGTCGGACCACCATCATTTGACGAATCACGCACACCGCCACCTGTCAACCTATCCTTGTCACTGGAGACCACCCCTACCCTTATCTCTTTCTCTCTCTCTCTCTCTCTCTCTCTCTCTCTCTCTCTCTCTTCACAAACCATCTCCATCTTTATGATATTCAGAAAACGAAAATACCACCACCACCACTAGCTTCTATTGAGTGATTTTGGTAGAGAGGGTTCTGACCACCACCATTTATTGCCTGCTGGATCAACATCACTTCTCCTTTTGCATCACCTATGCCTTTTGTAACACCACCATATCATCGTCCTCCCTCCCAAACGATCGCCACAAATCCTAGTAGCGGTGGCTTTGAAAACACTAGTTTCGACAGCGGCTTGTGGTTCCAGGTACATAGTGGTGGTACTCTAGATCTGCAAAAAACAGATGTCTTGATCGGAGAAAGAAATAGAGGTTGTGGCGGTTGTTTCTCGTAGGCGAAGGGCGGCTGTAGCGATGAACAAATTAGATGAAAAGAATGTTTTGAAAATGGTGATAGAGATAAATATATCGAGAAGATCATGGATGTCGCGTCGTACCTCCCTCGATTGTCGGCTTTTTCTCTCTTCTCTTGGTAAACAATCAACAAATAGAACCAGATCTACTCTACTGGTACGAAGAACATGATGTTTCAAACGTTAGCGGCATATCGGAGAAGGAGAGATGGTAGTAGTGTTGTAACCCCGATATGTAGCTCATCTGATTTTGAAACCTTAAAATGAAGACATCTTTGTTTGTTTCTTTGTCTTCTGATCTGTTTGGTGGCTGGAGAGATGGTCGATGGTGCTTCCGGTGAAAATGATATGGTGGCCGGCAGTGTTATCCGTAAGATTGGCAGGTGGGCGGCGATGTAGTAATAGTAGGGAAGAAGAAAATGTGTGTGTGTGTGTGAGAGAGAGAGAGAGATAGAGAAAGAGAGATTTATTTTTATTTTCTTGTTTTTTTTTTATAATTTGAAAATCATAAACAAATAATAAAAAAGAGAAAATCATACTAATATGGGCAAATCCGTCATTTTGAAAAAAATCAGAATGGATTGGATTAAAAACATAACAAAATGAAAGTTTTAGACCCTAGTCCAATTTGCAAAATTGTCTAATATAAACTAATAAAGGCAGTGAAATTGCAAAATTGTCTAAAATTTAATTGTTTTTTTATTATAATTTGGAATTCAAGCCCAAATATAGAGACCATGGGCACAAGATTTTATGGATTTTTATATAATTTGGAATTCAATCACCAATATTGGGTTCATGTGTTTTTTAATATTTGGTTGGCCTACCTTCAACTTTACAATCTTATCCCATACTAGTTGTAACATTTCAAGCCTGTATCTACCTATAGACTAGTCCAATAACTTTTGATCAATTGAAAAGAATGGTGAGAGTTATAAAAAAATAAATGTTTTATTAGGTGTTTGTTTGAATTATTTAGGTTGTGTTTGGGGTATATAAGGTATATTACTTTTTTGAGCTTATTGTAATATTGTATCAGGTGAGACAACTAAATAAGTTTAGGGAAAATGACCTTTGAGGGTAATAAAGTATTCGTCTTGTATTCATTAGGTCCCTTATCTTTTTTTGTCTTTATTATACCATTTAACTTATAATCTCTGCTCACCAAAACCCTTGAAACCGGTTATCACATGTTTTACCGGTTACCACATTTAATTAGAGATGACATGTCTTATTACGTGGAACTAGAACACATTTAATTACCGTTTCTCTTTCTCCCCTTTGTCCTTACAGTTAGGTTTCATTTTAATTGAGGGAAGAAAAAGTTCAATCAAAGCATACGGTTAGGAAATTGAAGAGAACTGGTGAATGCGAGTGTTATAGTGAAGAAGATGGCCTCCGATTCCAAACAAAGTAAGTATTTAACAGTTTATATACATTATAATGGTTTATTCGCACCAAAACCATTAGTGTACTTGAACGCTGTTGTTGTTTCAATCTGTGATGTCGATTTTGGTGCAATGGATTTCAAAGACTTTAACTTGTTCATTGCAAAGTTGATTGAAGGCAGTTGTGATAATGTATATTATTGCACTAGAAATGAACCGTTGGCAGAGGGTATTAGGAGAATTAGGAATGATGCTGACTACTTTGAGTTTATTGAAACGGGTTATAGTGATGAAGCCGGTCTAAGAATGAATGTGTATATAGACCATGAAAATGAACCTGTACTTGATTGGGCTGATATGGAAGTAATGGAAGATGATGAAGGGCATTATTCTGAGGAAGACCTGGATGATGATAAAGATTCACAACTTTCTGATGATAGTCCATATGAGCATGAAGTAGATGATTACATTCCTTCTCTTGACAAGACTATTGGTGATGAATTCTTACATCGGGTGACAGGTATGTGTAAGGATATAAATGATGAGGCTGAAACTGATGAGGTTGAAACCAAGAATGGAGATGACAAACCAGTGTACCCTGTCCATAATGAGAACCAGAAATGGGACAAAATGGTGCCAATTCTAGGTATGAGATTCTCTAACCCCATGGAATTGAAAAATTGTTTGACTAACTATGCAGTGAAGAATGGGTACAACCTTTATTTTGAGAAAAATGATAGTAAGAGGTTATTAGTGAGATGTTGTAAAGAGAACAAGAACCCCTCCTGTCCTTTTAGACTGTGGGCTTCCTGGATGAGCAGTGAAAGGTCTTTCCAGATTAAGTCATTAGTTGATGAACATAACTGTTCAAGAGTCTTCAAACTTGGTTCCATTGTAACATATAAATGGATTGGAAAGCATTTTAAGAATCAACTTGTGAAGAACCCTAAAATGAGCATAAGGAAATTGAAGGCCAAAGTGAGTACAAAGTTTAACTTGATTGTTAGTGTCACTCAATGTAGAAATGCTAGGAGCTATGCTTTGGATGAGATAGAGGGTAGTTTGATAGAACATTATGGTAAAGTATGGAGTTATGGAGAAGAAATAATGAGGACAAATCCTGGTTCAACAGTAAAGATAGATGTGAATGTCATGCCTGATTCCACAACCTACTTTTCTAAAATGTATGTTTGTTTTAAGGGTGTGAAGGATGGTTGGATTGCAGCATGTAGGAGGGTAATAGGGGTAGATGGTTGTTTTTTAAAGGGTATATGTAGAGGCCAGCTGTGAGCAGCTATGGGTAGGGATGCAAACAACCACATCTTCCCTATTGCATGGGCTGTGGTGGAAGTTGAAAATAAGGAAACATGGAAATGGTTTCTTGACCTCCTTCTGGATGACATTGAAATGGGAATTGGTCATGGATTGACCCTCATATCAGACCAACACAAGGTATATTTCTGCTTTGTTTTGTTTAAGTTGAATGTTTTTGTTATGTCATTTATTTCATGCTTTCTTTCAGGGATTAATAGAGGCTGTCAAAGAAAGGGTTCCAGCAGCAGAGCATAGACAATGTGCTAGGCACATCTATGCTAACTTCAAGAAAAGATTCAAAGGTGAATAATATAGGAAGTTGTTTTGGGCAGCAGCTGCTAGTACTACTCAACCTAAATTTGAGGTAGAAATGAATTCCATAAAAAAAAATTGACCCTTTGGCTTATGAACACCTCATGGAAAGGGACCCTAAAAGTTGGTGCAGGGCATTCTTTGAAGTGGACAGGGCTTGTGATGCTTATGAGAATGGCATATCAGAAAGTTTCAACTCTGTTATTGATCTTGCTAGGAAAAGGCCACTCATCACCATGTTGGAAGAGATAAGGATTTATGCAATGGAGAGGATGTATAAAATGTTGCAAGAGGGAAAAAGTTGGGGGAATTTAAAAATATGTCCATCTATAAGGTTGAAGATATCAAAGCTAAAGAAACAGCAAAGGTATGATATAACTTCTATTTTATAAATATTATATGTCTCATCTATAAGATTAATAGAACTTCTTATTTTTTGGGCAGATTTTGGGGTGTTATACCATCTGGGATACAACAATATGAAGTTAGGATTGGAAATGATGGATATGCTGTGGACCTTAACAACAACACATGTGGATGTAGATCTTGGCAAGTATCAGGTATCCCATGTGTGCATGCAGTGGCAGCCATTTCATACCTCAACAGGAATGCAGAGGATTATGTTGCACCATGGTTCCATACAGCCATGTTCTTGACTTGTTACAACCATACCATTAACCCACTTAATGGTAGTTCCATGTGGCCTGAAGCTCCCTACATGAAGCCATTGCCTCCTCAAAAAAGAAGGTTACCAGGAAGGCCAACCCTTAAAAGGAAAAAAGATCAATCTGAGATGGAAAGCAAGGGGAAAACAAGGCATACTATCTCAAAAGCAGGTTCAGTTAATAGATGCACTATTTGTAGAGAAAGGGGCCACAATAGATCAACATGTCCTACTAGACCAGCAGATGTAGCATCCACTTCAAGGCCAAAAAACAAGAAACCTAAAAAATGTAAAAAAGAGAAAGGTATGCTATTAAAACAATATAATTTAAATGGAACATCCAACTCATTAGCTACATATTTGTATAGCAGGTAAAGTGGAACCAGTTCAAGTGGATCCAGTTCAAGCAGATCTAGTGGATCCAGTTCAAGTACCAGCTCCACAGGTTGATCCAGTTCAAGCAGATCCAGTGGATCCAGTTGATGTACCAGCTCCACATGTTGAACCAGTTCAAGTAGATGATCCACATCCAGATGTTGATGTCCCTGCTCAACCAGTTGCAACTAGGCAGAGGATACGAAAATACTCAGAAAGAATTACCAAGATAGGGTTGAGGAGGAAGGTTTTGAAGAAAGAAGGAAGCACTGGACACAACCCAATGGTGTTGGAATGATTTTATTTGGAAAGACAAACTTTTAGTCTTATAATATGTAATTGGGAAACTTTAGAATCATGGCACATGGCACATCTTTTGACATATTAGGACAACTGTGGGCACTTTTGTAATAGTGCACATGCTGATGGAATATTACAACTTTGTCTTTTATCTATATGCTTTGGTGTACGGTTATTTGCATATAGATTGTTTAATCTTATATTATCTATCATAAATCAAGTAAATTTAGTATTACTACATTAAGCAAAGTTTGGTGTTGTTGTTGTTAATCTGGACCATATTACCCTTGGATCACATCAACACATTAACAATTGATTACTGCCAAATTTAATATGGACCATTTTACCCTTGGATCACATCAAGACATTAACAATTGATTAATGCCAAGATTTAGTCTTAATACATTAAGAAATGTTTGATGTATCCAATGTGGTTAATCTGGACCATTTTACCCTTGGATCACATCAACACAATAACAATTGATTACTGCCAAATTTAATCTGGACCATTTTACCCTTGGATCACATCAAGACATTAACAATTGATTAATGCCAAGATTTAGTCTTAATACATTAAAAATGTTTGATGTATCCAATGTGGTTAATCTGGACCATTTTACCCTTATATCACATCAACACAATAACAATTGACTGACTGCCAAATTTAATCTGGACCATTTTACCCATGCATCATGTCCAATTCATTAACCTTTTAAACAATTAATACTTCTTGGAAAGCACTCAAAACATCAAACTATCATTAATCAAAAATATTTAGTCATAATACATCAAACAAATTACAACATTAAGGATTACATTTAGTCTTTGAATACAGCTAAACTAAGGGTTAAATTAAGGGCTAAACTACTTCTTAAACACAAACAACAGAAACAACACAATCATCACAACTTTATGAGTAAATAGCTTCCATTTGAGTTTTTCAAACTCTTGTCTAACAACCAAATTTTCTTGTTCCATCTTCATCTTACATATGCTGATCTCGTTTTCCAATATAGAAACTTTGAGGGTTAAATTGCACGGTTCTTTTTTGTCCTTCCCAGAATTGACTTCATTTTCAGGGGTTTCAGGCTCCAACCATTCCCAGAACTTGCATTTTGGTCCTTCATTCTTGAAAAAAGTAACAAATTGGTTAAAGAAAGAAGATTAAACGAAAAGTAAAAAACAATTGCTTTACCATGGAGTTAGGGCACAATCTGAATTTTTTCCTGGATTGTCTTTAGTTCGTGAAGTTCGTACACGAGATGGTAACCCACAGTAACAAGGATTTTCAGGTTGAAATTCAACATTTCGTTTGGAAGAAATAGAAGAAGAAGAAGAAGACATGTCGATCTAGGGCAAGAACGGGCAAGAATGCAGTACTTAACTTTGCAATTAATAAGCCCAGTTATGGCACATAATGCCTAATATCCACATAAGTAGTAACCTACAACAACCGGTATCAAGGGCTTTGGTGAACAGGGATTATAAGTTCAATGGTATAATAAAGACAAAAAAAAGATAAGGGACCTAATGAATACAAGACGAATACTTTATTACCCTCAAAGGTCATTTTCCCATAAGTTTATAAACAACCTTTTAAAAAGCTATTTGAGATAGTTTATCATGGGTTTATCCACAAAATTTTCAAACATATCCTTATATGCTTATTTCTATAAATTTTGTAAATGGTCTTTTTATGTCATTTTACACTTGTCATCTAGCTTATCGATTACTTTTACTAAAGGTTATTTTTTTATCAGTTACCAGCTAGTTTGTGAAACATAACCTTAAAATGTCTAAATCTTTTTATTTTATTACTCTTTTAGCGGTTAATGTGATAAATTATTTGGTTTGCGGGTTATTCCAAGATAATAATTGTTTGGTTTGTAATACAAAACCTAATAAATCTTACAAAAAGATTTTAAGCGAAATTTTCAAAATTAAAGATTTTTTTATTAGATAAAAGATACCAATGTTTGGTTTTGGGTATAGGTGGAACCAAAGGGGTTTGAGATT